TGTTATTTGCCTGAAACGATTCAAATAATTTTGAATCTCATACTATTATGTAATAAAATAACGTAGAAATTTTATACTTACTTCAAAATTTAAACTGGAACATAAATTTGAAATCAGTTTGCTATATTCTTACATTTACTTATATGGGGACTACCCTATTTAGCTCAGTTTTCTGTATGTGTGTGTTTTTTATTTTGTTGTTCCCCCTTCCCTCCACCTCCTCCTGACATGTGAGTATTTTCTTGTGGACAGCAACAGGAAAATTGGAAGCTAGAAGTAGTGTTTAGCCAAAGGTGCAGGATCCTGGTGAAGTACATAGTATGGGGAAGCACTGGCTGAAATGAAATGGGTAGGGAAATGCCATGGTGGAAGGAGTTTAGGGAGACCTAGTGCAGTAGAGGTGGTAGAGGAGAAGGAGCAGAAGATAAGTGATAAAGGAGATGAGAACAGGTATGTTATAAGGAATGGTCTTTTTTTTAATTCCAGTATGATCATTCTGGAAAGGAAGCTATTTTGTAAAAAAAACTATGAGATAGTCTTCATACTATGTTTTGTTATGTGATATGAATGTTCCCAGAGCTTCATTTCCATGAATTTACCCTGGAAGTGCCAAAACTATCACACCCTATTGACTTTAGTAATAAGGTCGACCCTGCTAAAAAAAGAAAAAAGACAGTGTGGGCCTAAAATGGCCCCTTTCTATTAATTCACTACAGCCCTGAAGGGAGATAGAGCCCAGTTTCATCTCCAAGCAAAGCTAGTTTAGAGTGCAAAGTAATATTGACTAACACATTACAATTTTACAGAAAGCTTTCACATATGTGGTATTTTCTCATTTGACAAAGATGAGTGATGGGAATGGTAAGGCAAAGGGGAGAAAAAGGTTTAATGGTAGCATTTCTTCATTGAAAATTCCACTTCCAAAAGTTACTAGGTTAACAAATGTCCATCTGAAAGTACTATTTTACAAACAATTTTGTTATATCATCTCAAGCATCCTAAATTTGGACCACCTTATTTTCAGTATCAGTTGGGAAGGTGAAGAGGTTGCTTCCTTTGGAGCTGCTGCCTACCATTATGTAGTTTGGCAGGTGACCTTCTCTATGCGAACAACATAGTAATGCTTTCTTATTACAAGTAAGGTGAAGCTCATCTTATTTAAAGTGTTCCTGGCCCTCCCTTAAAAGTGCTTTTATTTAGGCCTGCAACTTTTGAGGCAAGGCCTGCCCTTTGGAAAGAAATGCTAGGTTATTTGTGCATTCAGGACCACCCTTGCTTTGATTTTCCCCAGCTTTCCCTAATTCCACTGTGGCTGAATCACAGGCAAGAGGATCAAATGAGATGTAAAAGTTCCTAAAACAATAACTGTGGAACAATAGAAATTGTCATAGTTGCGAAGATGGCTGCATAACTCAAGACTCACATCTTGCCATTCTAATACCAGTACCTTAAATAGTAGATTTTTCCT